AGACTTCAAAGGCAAGCCTCCACTTCATCAACACTACATTAATATGATGTGTTATATCCCTCCTCCTTTGTTTGTTTAAATTCATTTAATAGCTTAAATTCCTTTCCCCTTTCCTTTTTAGTTTTTGATTTTCTTCTCTTTTATTTTGATGTTTGTTTAACTTCCAATTTTGCTTATTTGGTAGGGGCTAATTAATTTTGAAGTCATTTTAGGTTTACTTTGACTTTACATAAGCACAAATCATGAGTTGTTTGTGATTTTTTCTCAATTTTTCTTTTACATTAATTTCTTTGTTTAATGTGTATTTATAATTTGATACATGCCTTAAATGTTGGAATTTTAACTAAATATGGATTAACATTAACTTAATTGTTACAATTTATGAAATACGCTAAATAAATATAGTTGGTAGATATAATTGGGCCGCTTATATATTCAATTCTTTTTTGGACCCAAATCACTTCATATATTGATGCGTACTGACGGTAGTGTAGGCTTCGTTAAAAAAAAACTAATAAGCCTATTATCGGGTGGCCCATTAGGTTAAGGTTGAAGCCTATAAATTCATAGCTAGGTCCCCACTCATCTCCTTAACCATAAATCAATTGCACATTCGACGGCTAGTTGTAGGAAGAACAATGAGAGGAAGACGTAGCTCGTTGTTCCATACGTTTGAAACACGCTTCTACATTGAGGAACAAACGGCTTAATAGGTATGCATCTTAATCTCATTTTCTTATATGTTCTTAACCTATGGAATATTAATAGTGTTGCTATAATTAACTTGCATTAATATGCTAATAACATTGATTTTTTCCACTTTAGACTTAGATGCGTATAAGGCTGGGCACCAGATCGGAATGAACCGGTACCGGATCGAAACGGGACTGTTTGACCGGGTTGTTGATCGGTACCAGGATGAACCAGATCGAAATTACCGGGATGGAGGCTTGGTTCCGTACCATCCCACTATATACTGGATATAACCGGGACAGACCGAAATGGACCGGACGGAACGGGATGGAATAAACGAGACGACACATATAGGTATTTCAAAAAATAATTAATTTTTTTGAGTTATTTTGAATTAAGAAAATATGAATGTTTTTTTTATTTTTCTAAGTTTATTAATTAGTTTATAGTATTTAAGTTTTAAAATTTATAATGTAATTTTACTTAAGTTTATTTTAAAGATATTCTTTTTAATTTTTACTTATATAAGTTTGTAAGTTAAGTTTAACAAAGTTTTTGTAAAAAGTTTTTGAGCTTATGTTATAAGTTTTCAAGATTTGAATCTTTTGAAGTTTATAAGTAATTAAGTTATACTTATAACTTGTAATTTAAATAACTTAAGTTTGTATTTTTTTAAAATTAAATAAACAAAAAAGAAATGATAATAAAAGTATAAAACAATGACACAAATACTATTTTTAATTTTAATTAAAAATAATTTATCGGGACCGGACCGGAACGGGGATGAACCGGTACCGGTATATCAATATCAAATTATGATACCGTTCCGTGTACCTGTTCAATGTATCCATTCCGTCCTGAATACTATTGGATCGGAACGGACCAAAATGGTACCGATACAACCCGATCCGATGCCCAGTCTTAGATGCATATTCAAAATTTCATGAATTGGATGCATTACTAGAAAAATTAACACTTCAATTTTTTTAATAATATTTTGTTCATAGGATGAATATCTATCCGATATGCGCCTTGAAGCAAAAAATAAATATTCGTTTTGAAGCCCAATTTATTCGGATTAGCCGTTTCATTTGATTCTATTGCTATATATAAATTACATCTAATATTATTATTACAAATAAAATTTATTTTATGTACAACTGTTCTCAAGTAAAAAAGATTAATTATAGCATCATTATTTTTAACTGCAACTATTATAATTCTATGTATATAGCAAATCAATCAACTTCAGATGTAGACTAAAATGAATAAATAAGAAAACTTGAAATAATTTAACCACGAAAAAAGATTTGAATCTAATGTTATTTATAAATTTTTTTTTTAGAACTCCAACCCAAAAATAGAAAACAAAATAGAAAAGAATAAAAAGAAACAAGGGAATTTAATGAAAAATAAATCCAAAAGTGATGAAAAAGAAAAGAATAGAAGAGACAAAGAAAACAAAAAAAAAATGAGAAAAGAATGGCTTGGTTAAAGTTCTCTCTGCTCTTTGTTGAAGGATTGATGTGTGGATAAGTTGTATTTTATTTTAGCTTCTACATTTGAAACATTTTATGTGTTCATTTGATTTTTTATGAGTAATTGAATAATTATAATTACTCATAATTAGTTTGATAATTAACACTATCCTGATTTTGCTATTGATTTCTTTTTTGTTTTCTTTGTGTTTGTAAAGTTTTAAGTGAGTCACAATGAAATTTCTACTCTTCACATTTATTTTTAGACAAAATATTGTCATTTTGAATTAGCGTCAAATAGTGTTATGGTAGCCTACTATTAAATTTTTGCTGTCGTAATAAACTATTCTACACTGTTTTATTTTAATTCGATTGTTATTGAAACAATTTTAATATTAGATTAAATGTATGAATGTATATTTGGTTTGATTTAGGCAAATGACTTAAGCTTTAAAAGAATAACTTGAAAACTTTCTATGTTTTTTCATCATTATTAAAAGGCTTAAATTTCACATTCGAGAATAATTAGATTAATTGTTTAGTTCAAAACCTTAACTCGGGTAAAATATTTCAAGTTAAAATCAATTAGAACTTAGTCATTCAAATTATTTCATAAGAAGAATGACTATAAAGTGATTTTATTTTAAAGTTAGTCATAATATATTAATCTACTGATTTTAAATAGGGGTTATCAAAACGTTTTGAAAATGATTTTCTCATTTTTCTAAAATTAATATGCAACTTTTTTTTCCGAAATAAATAAGTCAAACTATGAAATTTTTTTATTATAATATTTGAAATGGGCCTTGGAATGGATGGAAGTGTTGAAAATTCTATAGTAAAATAGGAAAAGATGGGAGCTTTCCTCTACATGTATACTTAACACCTTTCTTTGGTATGCTTGATTATTAAGGAACCATTGCATCTATGCATTTGGAAAGACGAGCCTCAGTTTCTTCGAGACAACGGAGAGTTAAAAAAGAATTTATGTTACTTCTTGAGAGAAAATCTCTACTCAGTTTCTTCAAGAATAATGAAGTAAAGATTCTCTTTCAAGATGTAACACAAATACTTTCTAAGACTCCTTTGTCTTTGAAGAATTTGAGACATGTCTTCCTAAATGCATCGATGCAATTGGTCCGCTAGAACAAAACATATCAAAGAAAGGTGTTAAATTATGGAGGATTTCCTCCTCTATCTCTTGACAATCCATGTAGAGAAGCTCTCATCTTTCTCCATTTCACTATAGAGTTTTAGCACTTTCACTCGTTTCTGGGACTCTGTCAAATATTATAATAATAAAAAAAATTGACTTATATTATGAAAATAGAGTCTCTACTTAATTTTAGGAAAATTGAGAAATCATTTTAAAGATGTTTTGAATTTTTTTTATTTAAAATCAAGGTAGTGTAAGCGTTCAAATATTTTTTTAAAAAAGGTGTTAAGGCCCCTTTAACAATTCTCAAATGTTATATCAGTCTATTTAATATATTAGCTAACTTTGAAAGAAAATCTCTGTATAGTATAAACTTAACATTATTTTCGAAATTTGTCCTTTAGTCATCCTTCTTATGAAAATGTGAATGACTAAGTTTAAGTAGATTTTAACTTGAATGTTGTATTCAGGTTAGGACCTTGAACTAAATAATTAGTTCAATTCTCAAACGTGCATTTTAAACTTTTTATAACTATAGAAGAACATAGAAATTTCTAAAGTTATTATGTCATTACAATTTAGATAATTTTGGATCGTGACAAAGATGATTCAGTTAACAGTTTCTCCTTTTACCCTTCACTCTTCTTTTTCGAATTAATTCCCAAAAATGGTTACTCCAGTTTTAGAAATTGCCTTTAAATATCATTTTTGTTTCATTTAGGACCAAAATATTACTCAACTATCATTATTTTCCTCGAATATTGTGTTGTCGAACGTTTACATTGAGAAATACTGTTTCTCTTTCTATGTTGTTGCTTTTGCTTAAACTAGGTGGCTACCTTTGTAAAGCTATACACTGTTCTTACAAGAATATTGAGAGATGCAACCTTAACGTGTTTTATACTATTGAAGCTAATGTTGAACACTCATAAGTAATTGTTGACTGCATGGATTGAAATGATGAATCATTGTCATGATGTGTTTTGTTTCTCCACCGTGTCTGTTGTATTAGTATTAGCCTTCTAGTTATATCTTGAATAATTAGATATTTGAAATGAAAAGAACTCATTGTTGAGTATCGAAATGAACAGGTGCACCTGAAGCAACATGAATATCACATATTCATATATATAATTGATTCCGACTTTTACAATCCACAACGTTTCCTCTTAATTAACATTCTTTGAAGTTAGAATCAATTATATGAATCTACGATATTCATGTTTCTTCATTTACACCTATTTCATTTCCATATTCAATAATATTTGGCTCTCTTCACAGTCAAATATCTAATTATTCAAGATAGCATTATAAGTCTGATACTATATAGAATAAATACAATGGTGAAATAAAATATACCATGACAATATTGCTTCATCATTTCCATTCATACGATCAACAATTATTTATGAGTGTTCAACATTAAATTCAATAATCTGTTTTATTTTCTTAAATTTCTGTCAAGTCAAACTATATATGTTATTTTGTTTTTAAATGGAGAGAGTAATATTTACTTCAATATGGTCTTAAGTTGATTAATCATATAAGTCAATGAACTTGACTCACCTTGTTGTGACACTAGCATTTCCTTTTTATTTAGTTTTTATTCCTAAGTGAAAAAAGGAGATTCACAAATTAACTGTTTCCAACCATCTAATCTAGTATCCACTATGTTCTTCACTTCACTTGTTTCAAACATCTCCCATGTTGTCACCTTCCTCCAAACCCTAACCCTAATTCTCATCAATGACAAATCCAAGAACCCTCTTCACCATTCAATCTCCAACAAATGCATCTTTTTCTTCCCATTTTACCCTCAAGAAACCTTCAAAATCACAACAACAACCACCAGTCTATAAGAAGTTCACTTTTAGAGTTCTTTGTTCCTCTCAACCTTCAAGAACCCCACAGAATTCAAATCTAATTTCTACCCTTGTCAAGATTCTACGCGTAGTACCGGATTGGGCTGACAAAATTCAAGAAGGGGGTATGAGAAAAAAGAGATCTTTATACAAGCATGAGACTTGGGTGCAACATAGAAGTTCTTTAAGGCATCTTAGGCATTTGTTTTCGAGCATCAATTCGCGGGTTGTTTTGTCGTTGATTCCTCCTGTTATAGCTTTTACTTCATTTGCATTTGTGATTGCTTGTTATAATTCAGCAGTTTCATTGCATTGGTTGCCTGAGTTTTTCCCTATCTTGAGAGCTAGTCCACAGCCTTATCAGTTGACAGCTCCAGCTCTGGCGCTTTTATTGGTGTTTAGGACGGAGGCGTCTTACTCGAGGTTCGAAGCAGGGAAGAAGGCTTGGACTAAAGTGATTGCTGGAACTAATGATTTTGCTAGGCAGGTCATTGCTTGTGTTGATAAGAGGGATGATGTGCTCAAAGAGGCACTTTTGCAGTATATCATGGCATTTCCAGTTGCCTTAAAGGTATATATGTTGATCAATTTGGCTCACTATAGTCTTTTTAAAAAATAAAATAGAAGTAGGGGAAAGGGAAACAAGAGAGGGGATTACAAGGTGGGAATCGAACCGTTACCAACAACATGAAAGTGTAAGTAGCCAACCAACTGAGCTACTAAGATCCCCCTCACGATAGTCTTTGTATCCATACCTACATTTTATTAGTGGCCTAAGATCAGGGTGAAGCCATGTAGGACTAAGGGGGTTCGTTGATGAACCCCTTCAACAGAAACTTATACATGGTATATATAGTAGATAATGAGTTCCCTTTAGCTTCTTCTTGTGTTTACTTCTTCATATTTTGAACCCATTTAGTGAAAATTCTAGCTTCGACACTGCTTTAGATTATTCTCAATCATTCTTGCTATGGGGTTACAATTGGTCCCTGGACTCATTTAAGATCTACGGGTTCACCATTTTAATATTGAATCCATTATATTTTTGAAGTTATGGTTCATGTATACTATTTATTGCAATTTTATTGAGTTTTTACACATAAATTTGTACTCCACACTAGAAGTACAGGTTCATAAAACCTGGTACCGACAAGCTGCATCGTCCCCCTGCCTGTACTCCGTGTAGGAGAGAAAATCATAAGTCATCGTTATTGATATGCTACTTCTGCAACTAGTTCTGTCACGATATATGAAAAAAAGATGAGATAACAAAACTTCAGTAAATCTCTATTTACAAGGGAAAATAAAAATAATCTGCTGTCTGCTGGCTAATGCAATGATCAGGTAGTTGAGGCTGAAAAATGAAAATGCAGTAAAAATTCTAAAACACGAAATCTAACCATCAATTACAAATTAATCTAGTGAGTGGCTTTTGAGTTATTTTCAAAATTTCAACGGCCATGTATATGTTTTTTTTTGATAACCGTGGTGTCAGGCCAGCTTGCACGCACCTTAACTAATTCCATAGGATGTCACCTTCCTCTAGCAATAGGTACCAGATAACTCTATTTACCAAGGCTAGGACAAATGAAAAGAAATCACCTTGTGTTTTTGTCTCTGCTGGAATTTGAACATGAGACCTTATGGTTCTCAACCTACATCATTGACCACTAGGCAACACCCTTGGGTGAAATGGCCATGCATATTCTTCCTTGTTTAAGCTTAGATAAATGATTTAACCTTTTCTGTCCATTGTTCGATCATAAATTAGAAGGAAGTTTCTCAAAACTGCATCGATAGGCCTTCTATCACAGTATTGTTGTTGAGGTTTAACTGAAATGACCTTAAAATCGTAGAAGCTTTAAATCCTTATCTTACATTTTAAACATGGAACATGTGGTACTTCGATCTCTTTGCAGTTTGCATACTGATTCACTAATAAGTCGTCTTGTACATGCACGAATTACTTAAAAGCAAAATACATTTTCTATGATAAGCAAAGGGATAAAGCTCCTTGCCTCTTGCATAGTATTAACCACTAAGATTACAGTACTTCTATGCAGTGCCACATAGTATATGACTCGGATATAGCAAGTGATCTCAAAAACTTACTCGAGGCTGATGATCTAGCATTAGTTGTCAGTTCTAAGCATCGCCCTCGTTGCATCATTGGATTCATCTCTCAGAGCCTTCAGTCGTTAAACTTGGAGGGGACAATACTGAGTCAACTGGTAATTATTTTTCATAAAGTTATACTTCTTAAATGAAGTAGAAAAGTCTCCCAGTGGCTGCATCTTTTATTTCTGTTTCAAACTTTTTCCTTTTGGCATATTAGAAGATCAATGTAAGTAACAAACCATAGGAATATCTGTTTTCATCAAAATATCTTTTCTTGATGGATTGTGGAAGAAAGATATTCTGTGGTTTTCTGTTTTTGGTAATCTTACTAAGCACACTAACTGGATGCTCTTAAGATTTAATAAGCCTTGTGAATAGTCTCCGATGACTTATGGTTTCAAAAAGTGCAGGAGTCAAAGATTACTTGTTTCCATGAAGGTATTGGTGTATGTGAACAACTCTTGGGCATACCTATTCCCCTTTCATACACTCGATTGACGTCAAGGTTCTTAGTCCTTTGGCATCTAACTCTTCCTATTATACTTTGGGATGATTGCCACTGGATTGTGGTTCCAGCAACTTTCATAAGTGCGGCTTCCTTATTCTGCATCGAAGAGGTCAGGTTTTATTTTCTTCTCCTCATTTGCCAAGCTTTCGGTCTATACTCTAACCAGAAGAACAAATACTTTGTGATTTAATTACTTCATGTAGTAGAGATCAATTTGTTTAAAGGCAAGGCTCTATTAAAATGTTAGACTTGGCCTGCCATACTAGCAATATATAGCTCAGGAAGAAAAGAAAAAATGAACATACTATAGTTTCCCTTAAGTTTCAATAGATGGAGTTTTCCACCTAACATCATCTTGAATCTACACAAAGTATTTGATATGTATGCGTACATCCTACCTCCCCAGACCCTACTTGTGGGATTATACTAGGTATGTTGTTGTCTTGTCTGATAAATGGTCTGAGGCTCCAAGCTTCATGATACTGTAACATTGGTCATTGTATCTCTCTCAAGATGAAAGAGAAGATATATAATTTGTCTTTTCAGAGCTATTGCCGTTTTCTATTTGATACCCCCTCCCCACACCCACCCACACAAAAAAAGGCACAGATAATAACAAAAATAAAGAGTAGAGAGAAACACAGTGAAAGGGTTCTTGTTTTATTAGAGCATTGGTGATGTCCTATACAGAGATCTCAGCTTGGTTATTTAGCTTTCTGGATGAGGAGTGTAGACGATGACTAATCCCTCTGTTTCAATTTCTCTGTTTTTTATTTGGCACGGAGTTTAAGAAAGTAAAGAAGACTTTTGAATCTTGTGATCGTAAATGTAAATTAAAGATATGTAGAATGTAATCGTTTAACCTCGTGGTCTTAAACATGTCATGTGCAAAGTTGCCAAAAAAGGAAGATGCATTCTTTTTGAAACGGACTAGTAAGACAAACAAATTGAAGTGGATTCATATTTGACAAAAAGAGGATGTTCATTCATTTTTGCAGGTTGGTGTCCTTATTGAGGAGCCATTTCCAATGCTTGCACTCGATGAGCTCTGTCAGCGCGTTCATGACAACATCCACGAAGCAATGGCAAACGAAAAGCAGATTCAAGAAATAGTAAACAGCAAAAGAAAGAGAAGTTTTAGTGAACACTCTCCAAATGGTTGGCCAACCTCATAGGATGACTAGAAATTACGCCTTAAACGAAAGACTGAAGTATTCTCTATCATGACTTCAGCAACTGTACATAAAGAGGGAATGTCCCATATATGAATGTTGTTTCAATACCTGGGGAAAACAAGAGAAGACATATTTCTATTCCCATATATGTAAATAAAATATAGTTCTGGTAGAAAGTATTCGTTCTAGAAAAATATAACGCGCATTGAGATCAGCTTATAAATTCAGTTAATTCGAAATTGGCTTACAGAATGTGCTCTCAAATGTACAAAAGTATGTGTGTACAATCTCATGAGAAGCATGAAACTCTTGGAGATATAGTAGAAGAGACATGATTGATGAAACAATTTAATTTGCTCATATAGTCTAGTAATCGCGACTCCCATGATTTTCTCAGATGGCCACTCAACTAATAGACTTTGTTCTCGATTAAAAAATGACTTTTTGAGACTGTCTTCTTACTTAAAAATGACTTCTTGAAATAAAAATTATTAGTTGAGTGACTATCTGAGAAATCAACTCGACTTTTTCTTCTAATGATATTAGAAATGAACTGATATAAACATGCCAATAAATGTGTTCTATCACAAGCAACAAATAAGCAGTAATGTAATACTAAAGAAAAACGCCCAAAATTAATTATTAAAAAAATAAAAATGTACTGAAGTAAAACACCAAAATTAATTATTAAAAATAAAATAAAAATGTCTGTGCCCGGGTTCGAACCGGGGACCTCTAGTGTGTGAGACTAGCGTGATAACCGACTACACCACCCAGACTTGATTGACGCTACTTTTTACAGAAAAATTATAAACTAAAAAACATGACATAGAAAATAGTCCAGATTTTTGCAGCAAGAATGATTTTATAATACCATACACGGAACTCGTTTGATATAGTGTATAAGAATAAGGTTGAATATAATGTATTAGTAATACTTATATTAATTATACTGAAACTATTTTGATGTAGTGCTTAATTTGATATATAAAAAATAACATGTATTACATTATTTCAAAAACAAAATCATTTACAAAAATACCTCCACAAATATGGTGGAAAGGATGTGACAAAACTTTTGAGCACAATTATGTCTTTAATCATGCTAATGCATGCATAAAAATATTTGCATTACTAATACCATGGATTTCTCCATCAGAAGCTATGATGGTATTAAAGTGTCTAGCTGAACAATCTTCATCGAAAAATTATATATATGAGTCAAATCTTACATAATATTACGATATATAATATTTTGAATAACTTCAAATCAATAGAAACCCATACCACAATGACAAGAATATGCAAGAAACTAAAACAAAGCTTAGGTTCAATTTAATAAAATATACCAAACAAGATATTACTAATATATAAAACTATTGTATCTATTTTTTTCTAATACATTCTTTAAAAAAAAAAAATTGACTTTTTACCAACATTCTATCCTAATAAAATTACTAAAATCCTAAAATTTACATAGTATATGATGACTACACAATTTAATTTAATGCAATAAAAAAGTTGTCCCACCAGATTTATCAAACTGGTTATTTCAAGTTCTGTTTTTTCAACATTCAAAATTTTCACTTCACTCTCTACTCAGTAAGTAATGGAAACGAGAAGACCCAATTCGATCGGAGCACAGCAGCCGGAAACCCTAGGCCAAGACCACGATGACTTGTCGGAGTCGGAGTCGGAGTCAGAAGAAGGGATACAAGAACTGGAAGAAGAAATACGGGAACTGGAACAACAAGTTCAACAAATGGCTGAGAAAATTGTGGATTTCAGAACTACACTTCCGGGTCAGCTTAAAACTACTCTCGATTCCATTCTTACTGCTCAAAGACCCCTTTTTGATAGCCCCGAATCTCAACCTGGCTGCTCCAATCAACCACCCACATCTGGTACGTTTCTAGGGTTCTTCTCAGATTCAAACTGTTAATTACACGGAAAATTGTTAGTATTGGAATTGGATGGCGTATAGTGTTCAATGGTTGTTATAGACGATTCCAATTAGTTTGGTATTGTTGATTGATTGATTGACAATGTTTTATAATGGTGACATTTGGTGTCTTTATTCAAACTTCTCTCTGTTTATTCTTGTTTTGTATGCAGCCAACTCAACTACCTTCTTTGTTTCTGCTAGGATTTGAACCCTAGTATCCTGTATTCTTTGTTCCAGCTTCATTGACCTGCAATGCTAGGCCATACTTTAGTTACTTTTCTCCATTTCTTACAGATAGAAGTATATTCACAATACAAGAAGACCACAATTATCGAACGGTCTTAGAAGCACATTATAGAGAATGGTGCAATGAGTGAATTCCTTGAGGATAAGAAATTGTCTATCCTACCTTATTATTATGAAAGAAATTTGTCAATTCAGATTATTCTATTTCTGTATAAACTAAAAACCCGTGTCTTTATAGTTAAAATTCTCAGACATTATGTCCTTATTATGCAAGCTATTAATCAGGGGAGGTTGTTAGACTTGGTGTCAGCTTAGGCCTGGGAGTTTAGAAATCACTGTGTAAATGTTCTACACTGAGTTTTGAGCATAGGTAGAGAAGAGACTTGGGGTGACATCATTGTTGTTGACTTTGAACGTGGACCCATTTTGTGTTTTGAAACTCATACATTTATGGTAAAAAGGATGTGCTTCTGTTCTTAACTCTTGAACTTCTTTCTCTAGTCACTTAGGACTTATTTGAGTTGGTTAACACTTGGGTGAACGTGCTGTGCTATGAACTATGGTGGTGTCATAGATCTCTGTATTGACGTGAGGTTATTCTTGCTTTTTCATGTCTCGAGGCCACCAAACTAGTTAAGCAGTTTTAGCCGTGTGCCTATTGTTGTGTACTGTATGATAGTTTGGGTTTAGCTTGGCCCATCGAGTTAAGACATTATGCGAATATGAGTTTCCATTACTCTTATATTCTTGAGTTCATAATGATTAAAATAAGAGTATTGCATTATTAATTGAAGCTGTACTGAATGATAGTTTGGGTTTAGCATGACCCTTTGAGTTAAGCCATTATGCAAATATGAGTTCTCCATCATTCTTATATTCTTGAGTGCATGATGATTGAAAAAAGAGTACTGCCTTGTTAATTGAAACTGTACTGAAGGATAGTTTGTGTTCATCTTGACCCACCGAGTTAAGCCATTATGTGAACATGAGTTTTCCATTATTCTCATATTCTTGAGTCCATGATGCTTGAGAGAAGAGTGTTACCTTCGTATTGAAACTCTGCGCAAAATTAGATCAATATCACACCAACAAACAATAGAATACACAATGGAGCAGTTGAGTAAGCAGTGATCTGAACCAAAGCACACTGCTAGTAAAATGATTAGAAAAAAGAAATTAGTAAAGATACAACTGCATCTCCCTCATCCCCAGCAATAAGATAATGATTAAAAAGAAACACAAAGGCTGCGATATAGTTTATGAGAAAGTTCCATCATAATGCAGTCGTGCAAAAAGAGATAAGGTTCTTTTGCTACCATAGTTTTGTCGAGTGATCAGTTTTCCTCTTCCATTTTCCTCTTTTTATAAATGTTGAAGGAATGGTTTGTTTCACAATGCAAGAGTAGGTGTTCTTAAATTATTTTAGTGCCTCTTGATAATACTGGAAGTTGTTTCTTAACTGTCAGTAAAATTTTCAGAATGAGGTTGCGTTTACAGATGTGCTTTTCCTCCTTTTTGTACGGTGTGCCCTGACTGACCCTGCAGTTGATAAACCCTTTCTTCTTCTCATTTTTTTTTTGGACAAGTATCTTTAGAAATAATAAACCATTGCTAGATATTTGTGTCTTTTGGTTTTCAGCTTTTTCACAGAGTGAAGTTGTCCTCCATTGTCTTCAAACTGGAGGCATTTCAGATCTTGAAGGTCTCCTGGTTAACTGTTTAAGTTAGAGCCAAATTTCTGAAAAGTATTTTAGGGTCAGTGGTAAAATCATACAGACCTTAAGAATAATAAGCTCATGTATTATATGAAGAACTCTAGGAAGCGGAAGTCAACAAGATAACTATCCGGTATTCCACCTACTTGCATAGAGACCTTATAAGGTTTTGTCGTGATTCGATGGAAAGTTTCGGCCCAAGATATATCTGGAACCTTATAAATGGTTGAACAATTGTTGACTATTCAATGTGAGATCTTTAGTGTAATAAAATGAAAGAGGAATCACAAAGTCCACTTACAGTTCGATATGAGTTCTTGCTTTTGCTTTATCTTTAAGAAATGATTGTTTTTCTTTGTTGCTTGAGAGCTACAAGGCTAGAGACATGTTCATAGAGTGATTAAGAGCTAAAAGCACTTAAATCACAGATTCCCTTGTTAAGATTTTAGCTTTGTTAGTGGAAGCCTTGAAAAATGCATGCAGAAATGCAAAGATCGGTATCCTTGTGTTGTTTTTCTTTGTTGCTTGAGAGCTACAAGGTTAGACATGTTCATAGAGTGATTAAGAGCTAAATGCACTTAAATCACAGATTCCCTTGTTAAGATTTTAGCTTTGTTAGTGGAAGCCTTGAAAAATGCATGCAGAAATGCAAAGATTGGTATCCTTGTGTTTGATAGTACAGTAAATTTGTGGATTTACAGATTCGTTTTCTTTGTAATTATTATCCTGATCACTGTCACAGACGTAGAAGAGCCTGGTGCCGCCTTACCTGGAGAGGTGCAGAAAGAAGCTGAAAAAACGCAGCTCCTTAAGCAGAAGATAACAAGTAATGCATCTGCCATACCTATTGTATTGAACAGGATGAAGGAAGGTATGGCGAAGATTGACAAACTGCTGTCTAGCAATAAAGTGATTCATCCTGCATTTAAAAGGGGAAGAACTAGCCGATAAGCCCCTGCTAGATTTGCTCGCTATGGTATAGAACACGTAGTTTCTTATTATGCTTAACAGCTTTGACTGTTGCGGAACACGTGAAGCTGTCTTCCAGAGAAATATTTATTGACATGGATCTAACATAGTCAGGGAGCATTTTATTCTGTAATTAAGTGCAACATTAGTTAGTTTTGTATGTAATTCTTAATGGTGATAGGGTTAGTTTATGATGATGAAATGAGAATATGTAATCCAGTTAGTTGAGGTTGTGATTTTTGTGGAGCTCTAC